CATTTTTAACTTCAAATGAGCCTTCTTTTTTAAAGCATTAAAAGAACTAACGAGATGGTTTGGAAATGGAATGAAATGAGTTTAACATAAAGCATGTATCGCTCGAGATTGTATGAAAAGATTTTTAAGTCATCAATTTATTTCTCTTTTCCGTCCAATTAATCCTTTTTAACTTCAAATTAATTATTTCTACCTTCAAATGATCCTTTTTTTTTAAGCATTAAAAGAACTAAGGAGATGGTTTGGAAATGGAATGAAATGAGTTTAACATAAAGAACGTATAGTTTTTTTTTCTGTCAAATGAACCCTTTTTAACTTCAAATTACGTCTTTCCTTTAAGCATTAAAAAAACGTAGGAGATGGTATGAAAATGGAATGAAATGGGTTTAACATAAAGAACGTATAGCTTTTTTTTCTGTCAAATGAACTTTTTTAACTTCAAATGATCCTTCTTTTTTAAAGCATTAAAAGAACTAAGGAGATGGTTTGGAAATGGAATGAAATGAGTTTAACATAAAGCATGTATCGCTATTTCCTGTCAAATGAACCCTATTTGACTTTAAATTAACTATCTTTGAAGCATTAAAAATTTTCATGAAATGGTATGAAAATGGAATCAAATGATTTTCACATCTTCAATTTATTGCTCTTTTCCGTCCAATTAATCCTTTTTAACTTCAAATTAATCATTTTTAACTTCAAATGATCCTTCTTTTTTAAAGCATTAAAAGAACTAAGGAGATGGTTTGGAAATGGAATGAAATGAGGTTAACATAAAGAGTATATAGCTTTTCTTCTGTCAAATGAACCCTTATTATCTTTAAATTAACCCTTCCTTTAAAGCATTACAAAAAAAACAAAGGAGATTGTATGAAAATATTTTCACGTCATCAATTTATTTCTCTTTTCCGTCCAATTAATCCTTTTTAACTTCAAATTAATCATTTTGAACTTCAAATGAACCCTTTTTAACTTTAAATCAACCCTTTCTTTAAAGCAATATGAAATTTCAGCTTTTAAATTTTCAATGAAATACCAACAGGCATCGAGAATCATCCACCCCGAGTGTTGGCAGACCTCGAACTCATCCTTCCAGTCTACGAAGTTTGGTTCCGGATGCTGTCAATAGCTAGGTCAATTCGACACCCTACGCAATCAGTTGATAAATTCAAACCTACTCACTCTTAAATATATCCTTTCCTATTTGCATGCCATTCACTCACTTAGGGTTACTCGATATTCCTCCATCACCCTTTACACACATCATACGACTAACCCAACTGAAGGTCGATAGATACTCAATGTTCCGCCATCACACTACAAATTCATTAACACACTCAATGCATGCTAGAGATATAAAACAATCTGTTTATACCATAAAACAACGGGATAAACCTTGCCATTCACCCTTATAAATTACATACACCACACGTCATTCACACTACCCCAGAGCACTCGATTTTCCCTGGGGTAATTAAGGACAATCTGCATTCACGCTTATAAATTACATACATAACCACACGTCATTCACACTACCCCAGAGTACTCAATATTTCTTCGGATAATTGGGGGATAAGCACCACCATTCACGCCAAGAAACACCTATTATATAACTAATATAACTATCACTATATAACTAATCTTGAGGGTCGATGGGTACTCAATATTCAAGCTACATATTCTCGCTAATAAATACATTAACTATCAAAAACATACTAGGGACACAAAACTATCTGTTGGAACAAGGGACTCAGATATTCACTGCCGTGCACAGGCTTCTCATATCGGGTGGTTTTCTTACATGCGCTCTATTTTATACTATACACTGCTCCACAAAAACGTGGCCTATTATGAAATTTTGATTTCTTTTTCACAATTAATTTGACAATGTTTTGGCCATATTTTTTGTTTTACTACTTTAATCATGATTTAATGTTTGTAATTAGACGAAAAGTATTTGTTTTTGTCAACGATAGTGAGGCAAAACAGCTTAATTTAATTTGTTTTAATTTAAGCTAAATTTAAAATCTCCACAATGTAAATCATCATCAAGGGCATTTATCCTTTAAAAATGCCTTTATTCACGAATGTTGATGACACAAAACAAAACGATTATAAAAATGCCCATAATCCGCGTGCAAGTTGCCCGTTGCCATAGCGCTCGTTGAGGATGGTAGAAATGGATGGTAGGATGGTATGCTGCAAGAGTTTTACATTTGCCTAAAACGACGGTTTTTGGACTTTCAGTTATATCAGGAGATTGCAAGGTGTACCCGGAGCCCAGGATCGGGACGCCCAAGGGCCAAGGGACCAGCTGACGACCGATTTATCGATTTCACACTCTGAGACAACGCTGTTCCATTGCTTCTGAAACGTCTCAAAGACTTCTAACTGTGCGGGATGTGTCTGTTAGTGCTGAAACAGGAAGAAGGAGACTTGCCGAAGTGAGTCTACATCCCATAAGGCCAGCAAAGGGGTCCAGCCAGATACCATCGTCGGACCGTTTGTTTGCAACGGACACCGACATCGGGCGGAAACAGTAATGAAGTAATGTTATGTTTTCAGACGAGTCCGCGTTTTCTTTCTATTCAACAGATGGACTCTACTTTATCGACCAGCTGTAGAGCTCTACAGCCAATGCAACATTGCCGGAAGTGGGTCGTTCGGAGGTGGTTCAGTTATTGTGTGAAGTGGAATTCCTTTGTAGGAAAAACGTAGTTACAAATTTTTTAATAGTACGTCACTTACGTCCTCTACGTGACAGAAATTCTTCAGGAATGTGTGGTGCCATCCGTTCCGTTTATTGGCGAGCAATTTTGGTTTATGCAAGATAATGCAAGACCAACTGTCGCTACCAGTGTCATGCAGTACCTTAGAGATGGCAACATTTACATTAAGACACCAAGTACTCCAGATTTGAACCCCATTGTGTACTTTTGGGACGAGCACGGGGGTTGGTTAAACGAAAAAAATAACTCTCCTACAGCCTTAGCTGAGCTGAAGTTAGTTGTGATTTGGTATGAAATTCCTCAAGAAGTGGTTAAAGGCCACAATTATGAGCGTGCTGAGAATTTTGTTTTATGTTTCATGTTCATATACATAAGTGATTTTTTCTTCGTTTAATTTTTCTTTAATAGTTTTATTTTTCCACTAATCAAATCTTATAATAAATACCTGAATTAAAAAGATAGCTGTGTTAATATTACTGAAACGGCAAGTACAATAAAATAAAAAAATATCGGAATTTTAAAGGGCGCCACTTTTTTTGTGGAGCAATTTATACTCTGTATTATATAAATAATTATTGTTTTATTGTAATTATAGTTATTATATTATTATTATTGTCTTGTAATATAAATAGGTATTGTCTTCTATTGTAACTGGTTAAACACCGGTAAATACATAAATATGCTAGACGAACTGATACTGATATTTGCCCTGTAGTGTCAAAATATGTGCACGTCCATGAAGAACATGAATCGCAGTAGGAAGAACATGAAGGAAATCAAGGCAAAGACGAAGAACATAAAGATCTGAGTTGAAAAGTGTGGCACAAACTAATCGGTGAGGCTTGGATCACGAGATTCTTCCAGTACTGATAGCGAAAAAAGGGCGTAATTTTTTTTTATATTTTTATTTTTCCAGTAATCAAATCTTTAAATAAATATCAGAATTAAAAGAGATAGCAGCGTTAATATTACTGAAACGGCAAGTACAATAAATAAAAAAAATATCGGAATTTTAAAGGGCGCCACTTTTTTTGTGGAGCAATTTATACTCTGTATTATATAAATAATTATTGTTTTATTGTAATTATAGTTATTATATTATTATTATTGTCTTGTAATATAAATAGGTATTGTCTTCTATTGTAACTGGTTAAACACCGGTAAATACATAAATATGCTAGACGAACTGATACTGATATTTGCCCTGTAGTGTCAAAATATGTGCACGTCCATGAAGAACATGAATCGCAGTAGGAAGAACATGAAGGAAATCAAGGCAAAGACGAAGAACATAAAGATCTGAGTTGAAAAATGTTGCACAAACCAATCGGTGAGCCTGGTATCCCAAGATTCTCCTTTCCAGTGCTGATACCGAAAAAAAGAGTGTAATTTTTTTGTAACTGTTACTCACTAAACTCCGATAGAAAGGAGAGAAAATTATTAAGTACAATCAGCAGAAACTGGCTCACGTCGAATAACGCCGGCGCCCGGTTTGAACAGAACGAATCAGCACAAAATGTTCCGATACACGTGTCAAATTGGGATGTTGACATACGTAACGCCTCGGATTACACTTTTTTCGGTGTACATAGTAGGCTAAGAAATATCATCGTTTTTGGGGTGCCAGTTGTGTTTTTTTTACCCCAAAAACTACAAAACACATTGACCTAATTTACGAACCTAATTACGAATTATGACATTTATTTCATAAAAACTTTCCCCGGGGAGGCGACGGTGTTTTCTTTTGAACGAAATCCCGTCCACCGACGAAGGCGAGGGTTTGAAAGCCATCATCTAATTAAGGTTAAACGCGTCGGCGGTGCGGGGGCGGCGGTGGCGGCTACGACGAATCCTCTTCTACGAGGGCGAAGGGACGAAAAGAGGAAATGCCATAACCGACGGCAATCGTTTTAAAAAGTGAGATCGAGCCTGGGACCTTGATCTTGAGTAAGGGAGCCTTGAAAGCACGTGATTTGGACCGTCCTAACCTGCCCGGTCGGAACCTCCACACGATCTTTGAAGGAAGATCGGAAAGATCAGAGACGAAACGGACCTAGGAGACACTCGAAGGAGTCTGTTAAATATTTCGCCGCGGACAGGCCGTGGAAGACACACCAGGGTGAGCCTACAATGTTTCCACGATGTAGAAAACAAATTAAAAACAAAACTCCCAATAGTATAAAGCGGTTTGTCGAAGTGGACGTCGATCTTTCCCTCGTGCCGGGTTCGCCTGTGATGAAGAGCGATAAAATAGAAAAGATTCTGACTTACTCGGATCTATTATATCCATATCAGTGAGGGTTGGTGCCGGAGGCGGTTGCGTCCGCGGGGTCCTTGCCGTGTTTCTTGTCCATGTTGTCCGTCAAGCAGCCAGAGACCTATTCCTCCGGTCGATCTCGGCTGGGAACGGGGTTAGACCGGAGAGGGATCGCCTCGCAGGTTAGAATAGAAATCAATAGCTGGTCGGAGCGAGGGGGGGCGCCGCTGGGGAGACGTGGTCCGGCCGACGAAGCGAACGTCCGTCAGATCGTCTGATAAAAGTCTCGACTCGGATTCACGACTGGAAACGCGACGAAGTCGATCCGAACTTTTATTCCAGGTCGATCTCTCTCACTGAAGAGGAGCAACAAGTGTTTTGCGTCACGAGCGGTCCCCTGATCGATAGGCGCCCTGACCGCGGACGGGACCTCGGAGCGAAATACCGCGTGAAAACTGGGACGGTGTTCGGTACTGAGTACGACGTGCAGCCGGTCCTATCTCGCTCGTCCGCTCACAATTAACTGAAAGCGGGCGCCCGGTCGGCAGCCGACCGACGGAACCGGATTTGTTGGTGGGGGGTTGGATTTAGGGGTGGCACGCCGGCCGGCACCAACGCCACTCACCATATGCCAAGCACTTTTTATGTTTTTTTCCTTTGTTTTTTTCCAGTCAATTAATTATTCGACAATCTTTATACCCGCCTCTCTATGAAATACGGCCGAGTCATGTTTTCAACTCTTACATACCATACTTGACATTAAGCCTTTCGCCGACCTAGTTGCGATTACACCACATGCCACTCCGCGAACGACAATCTGGGTTTTTTTCTCCTTACAAAAAGAAAAAGTTATTAAAGATACAAAAAAAAACATTCCTTCCAAGCCAGAATCTTTACTCTCAATGTGAACATGCTTTTCCTAAACTAATTAACAAAACCATTACAAATCTAAAAATAAAACACGTTCCGCAATATTCTTAAGGAGGCCGTGGCACATTTGTGCATTGTTTTTCAACATGATATCCGAAATTTAATTTTGGTTCTAACAAGTACACTCCGAGGTATTTAACAGTCTTCACCCATGGTATAGGGGCATTACACATCCTCATAGAGGTACTTATCGTAGCTAACTTTTTCTTTGGTGATTGATCAGCCTTCTCAGTTTAAATATACTTTTTTCTTTCCAAAAGGTAGATTGGCCTCATCCCCAATCAACCTTTTGGAAAGAAGAAATGTAGCTAACTTTGCTTACTTTTCAAAAAAAGGATATTAAAGGTTCAAAAATATAAAATAAAGAGCTGAAATAATTGAACCAAACTCGATAAATGTAAACCCCAAAAAATAATATCCCACGTACAATTAGGCCTATTGATTAAAAGTGTAGAATCACCAAAAAAAGGTTTTGTCCAAATCCGTAGCCAACCAACCTGGTCGTCGATTTGTGAGATTGTGAGAAGTTATTTAGTTATTATTATTATAATTCTAAACCGACTTCCTTCCCCACCCCTTCCAAATCCAACGTATATAAACATAAAACAGCAAAATCTCACTTGCACTCTCAACACGACACGCAAGAATGGCACAATTACACAGAAGACAAACACTCTGAGTGAGTAGAAATACTTTGATTGAATATAAAAAATATATTTTGCATTGTATACAGGGTGAATTGCTACTCGTGCTACAAACTTCTCCAGTAGATTCTTCACCCTAAAATGAACAAAAAAGTTCATATTGTCCATGGTCCGATTCTCAACCATTTCAGAGTAATTTCGCTTTTTATCGATTTTGAAAGATATCACGTCCTGGCGTCGGAAAATCGTGATATCTTTTAATCTAAACATTTCTCTGAAAATCTAATAGCACCGTTGAAATCCCCGTTAATTTTTAGAGAGAATCAAAATCATAATTCCATTGAAATTTTTTAATTTAATTTAATGCCCATTTATTGTATGTAATGCTTAAGAAGTTTACAAACAGCTAGAAGGTCAAGGAAGAAAGACCCAAACGTTTTGCCACCTTCATCTTCTTATTGAAAAATTAACGGGGATTTCAACGGTGCTTATAGATTTTAAGAGAAATGTTTAGATTAAAAGATATCACGATTTTCCGACGCCAGGACGTGATATCTTTCAAAATCGATAAAAAGCGAAATTACTCTGAAATGGTTGAGAATCGGACCATGGACAATATGAACTTTTTTGTTCATTTTAGGATGAAGAATCTACTGGAGAAGTTTGTAGCACGAGTAGCAATTCACCCTGTATATTCACTTTTCCACATCCTAAATGTAAACAATGTTTGTAAATCCCAGGCCCTGAAGATGATCTCAATAAAGATCGAAACGTTGGCACGATAAAGAAAATGTTTTTCTGAAAATTACATCACACCAGACCGCATCTCACGATTTCTAAATAAAAAATTGTGAGAAGGGCTGTCTCGAAACTATTAAATTTTCGGAAGCCAGATTGAAAAGAAGATATAAGGGGGCTTAGGTGTCAATAAATAAGGATATTTGTTTAAATAAATCTTCTCAAATGCTTTAGATAGTGATGGAAGAATACTGATAGGGCGGTAGCCAGGGCGGGTTTAGGTTTCTTGGGTAAAGCAACTATTAGGGTTTCCTTGGACATGAAAAAAGGAATGAGAAGTTCAGAATGTGGGTTATCTACATTAATATTATAAAGCGAGAAAGTTGGTTTGCATGGAACAGGTAATCTCGAAATTCACTGGTCCGATTTAGATGAATGGTTTTAGATCCTTAAGATCATGGGAAGGATATAGTACTAGTTGTGTCACATTTTCGTACATTTTCTTCAAGTTGTTAAAAAATTTCAAAAGGTAGGTTTTTGTTTCTATTTATCTATTCTCTCCATCCTATACCTAAAATTTTTTAATAATGTTTAAAAAAATCTGTTTAAATTCGATATGAAAAGGCTTTAGCCAGCTGGCAGTTTTAATTTTTTTATTCTTCTGGTTTTTTACAATTGCATTCTTTGATGCAACAAGTAAAACATATACTGTACATACATAGACATATAAACGATATGGACATTAATCCATATATGTTTAGAGATCATAATTAACCATATTAATTATTTCAATTTTTTTATTATTCTTTTTATGTAAGGTGTTGGTTGAAATGAAAATGTTAGTGTCACGAGCGGAATTCGAACCCACGACCTTCAGCCGCTGTTCTATCACTTGAGCTATCGTGACCGAAGACGTCAAGGACCTGGGTTCGAATCACGCTCGTGACATTAAATTTTTCATCTCAACCAAACCTTTGATAAAAAAAAAAATTAATCGAAATAAACAATAACACGGGAAAATGTACAGCAACCATCCAGTGATTACATCAATGAGTGAGATGGACTCCATCCTAGGAGACCGATGTCAAGTAGTAAGGTTGCCAGCTACACTTCAGTCTCTGTGATGATTATTAGACGTTTTGACGAAAGAGTTCAGATGATGGGATAGTTTGGAATGGAACTGCTTTTGATTCATATCCATCTTTTAATCATCCCTAAACAGGCTGTAGACGGATATCTCAACAATAAAAAAATGCACTTAGAAGGTATGTTAATTTTCAACAAGATCAATCAGTATTTCTATCTCAGAATTCTCTTATAGCATATTGGTGGACCTGCTTCTTTTCTGTATTTGCCCACGATAAACGATAAAGTAAAGGAAACTTCAAGCAGTTTGCAAAGAAACTGTATTTTTAGAAGATGATGAGAATTGGGAAATTACCCTTAGACCTGACGCGATTTCTCAATTAGGCTTTCACTTTAATGAATTATTTGTATTCTTTATTAAACTAACTTTCACTATAACGATTAATGACAAATGTATAAACACCGAGCGAAGCCACTAAAAGTCTTCTAGTGTATTTTAAAATGGAAGGAAATAATGAATTTCCCCTTGTCAAAACAGATAGTAATGAAATAAATAGTAGATTAGTACAGTAGACTCTATTTAAATCGGTAGTTTTGTTAAAAACTGTCCACAAGTATCAACAAGTGTAGATAGTGAATGTTTTCATGATTTACGGATTAATCTGGTACGAGAGGCATATGATAGATAAATAGGTAGATTGTATTTCATACATATACATTCCATATACACAAACAGCATTGCTTGTCAATGGCTGGTTCCAGGCTCACTCTCACCTATCTCGTCCAACATAATACTACTTGCCAACAAACAAAAAGGTGAAGGGAAAAAAGGCAATTTATAAATTAACAATAAATTTAGTCAATTAAATTAAAGAATTATCTAATTACCAAACTAAATAGAAACAACAGGTACAAAGCATAACAACTGTAACTACATTTACCGTTAAATTAATAGTTAACTAAAACTGAATAAATAATCATTAAATAAATAGCACATATAAATAAGAAATACAGTTCAACGGAAGTTAAAAGCGCATTGAAAAGATTAAGCTGGAATGTCTGACAAGTAAGCTGGACTACCATATCCGAAAAGCTAAAATCAGTGAAACCTTGTATCCCGAAGAACATAAAAAAGGGAGAAGAATTATTCTCTCATGATTACGAATAGGCCACATCCGTTTTACACATGGGCACCTCCTCTTTGGAAAGATACCCAAGGAGATGTCCACTGTGCGGCGCGACTGTGACAAAGAAACATATTTTAGAAGAGTGTGAACGACAAGCGCCGCACAGGATTCGGTGTGGCCGGCTTAACGATATGTCGAAAATATTAAAGCACAGCAGTGATCATAAAGATAAACTACTTGAATATCTAAAATCGATGAACCCATATGGTTATATTTAACCCCTCTACGTTGATTTTATATCTTGGTACGAATGTATTTATTTGCTTGCGTGGTAAATGTGAACGGACGAGTCTGTGATGGAATACCCCACCGACATGTCGATCTAGTTAGGTCTATTAGTACAATGAATGTGTGTAGGAGGGCGAGAGATCGGTGTAATTCAATACCCCGGTGCCTCCCCAATTTTTAATTGTACATACGGTTTGAAACGCTCTATCTGTAAGTCTGTAGACGAACTCAAAGACCAAACTAGTTAGGTTAGGTATAGAATAGGTTCTTTTTACTCTCTCTGTGCGGGTTGCTGTAATATTGATTGAATTACTCTTCACCACGTTTGAGAGGAGACGTTTATCAAGGGAAAAGATACAAGTTCCATGTAGCCCACATTTTATCAGAAGGTAAATCGCCCATCGACTACTAAGCTATTATATAGAAGTGTAAGACAAAACGGAGAAAGGGAAAATGCAGAGTATCACTGGCCATGAACATAGCTGTTTGCCGGAAAAAAAGTAATGAATAAATAGATACAAGAATGTGTGACTAGAGTAAGATTAACATATTACAAACCGATGTCAAACATTATCTAGTCCAGCCTTCTGTGATTATATTTCGGGTATTATACATGAGTACAAAAAGTAGGGTTGAGATGGGAAGTTAGTGTCCGAGTGGATCAAGGTCACGATAGCTCAAGTGGTTAGAGCAGCGGCTTATCTAGCCAAAGGTCGTGG